TTTTTCTTTCTTTCTTTTGTTTTTTAATATATAGACTTGATCATTTAGAGTAGCTTTAGGTTCACAGCAGAATTGACTGGAAAGTACAGAGTTCCCGTATACCCCACATAATAGCCTCCTTCACGATCAGCATCCCCCAACAGAGTGGTAAATGTGTTATGGTCATTGAACCAACGTTGACATATTATCACCCAAAATCCATAGTTTACATTAGGGTTCATGCTTGATGTTGTACATTTTATGATTTTGATAAATGTATAGTCGTAGACATAATATTGTACAGAAAAGTTTCACTGCCTTGTAAGTCCTCTGTGCTCTGACTGTTCATCCACCCTCTAAACCCCTAACAACCACCTCTCACTGTCTTCATAGTTCTGCATTTTCCAGAATGTCTCACAGTTGGAATCGTGCAGTATGTAGCCTTTTCCAGATTGGCTTCTTTCACTTCGTGTAATAGTAATTTAAGGTTGCTCCATGTCTTTTTGCGGCCTGATAGCTCATTTCTTTGTAGCATTGAATAGCATTCCACTGTATGAGTGCACCACAGTTTGTTTATCCACTCACCTATTGAGGGACGTCTTGATTGGTTCCAGTTTTGGGTGGATTAAGAATAAAGTTGCTCTAAACATCCACATGCATGTTTTTGCATAGATGTAAGTTTCAACTCCATTTGCGGTAAATACCAGGGAGTGTGCAGGTGCTGGGTTGTACGTTAAGAATATATTTAGTTTTCTAAAAAATTGCCAGACTGTCTTCCAAGGTAGCTGTACCATTTTGCATTACCACCAGCAATGAATGAAAATTCCTGGTATTCCACATCCTTGTCAACATCTGGCGTTGTGAGCTTTTCTTTTGTAACTCTCATTTTCACCCCGCTGAGAATAGTGCTTTCCACACTGCCGTGAGAAATATTGGCCGTGTATGCAGTATTTGTGGGAGAACTTTTAAAATAACCAGGCTCCATCCAATTGGTTGGAGCCTGAGGCTTCTATACACTGTTTTCCATTAGTCTTGATGTAATAAGATAACATGTTGTACAGATAAGGGCTCATTCATTTCCATAATTTGGAGTCATTTCACTGACTGACTTAACAGTGATGAACATATGTCGATAATTTTTGTTTCTTAATAATTAGAAAAAGAATTACTCTCCTTAAAACTTGCTATTATTGCTGTTATTGTTGATTCTTTAAAAAAACATGAAGTTATTTCATGAGAATTCCTAATATAAAATTTCATTTGTTTTTACAGAGTGTGCCCCGGTGCATGGCCCTCTTCTGATTTCAGGTTTGGGTATTACAGCTCTAGCAGAATTACTTGGATTAGTTTATTTGAAATGTTTTGGTAAGTCAACTTTATTTTTGTTAGCCTGTGCCAAGAATTTCAAATGTATAATTTGGAAAATGATTTTGGTTGATTCTTACAATTTAGGACCAAAGAAATGTATTGGTAACTCCAAACACGAGAAAGCGCAGTAACGCTGCTGTGCTTTTTCCGATGATAAAATTGCGATGCTTTGGGGGCAGTAAAGGAGGGTAGAAGCCGTACGAATGAATGCAAAGTTTAGATTATTAGCTGGTTTAAAAGAAAACAGCTTCTTGTTTTAGAATGTATAGACTTTTTTTATGTGAAGTGAAAGGAGAGAGTGTTGAGGATTCATTTTAATTCGTAAAATAGGGTGTTTACTTGGCCCATTGTTTGCATGGTAGAGCCCTTTCACGGGCCCTGTTAGTCAGTTGCCCCTCGTCTTGCAGACCATTTACAGCCCTGGACTCCCCTAAGTGGACAGGAACTGAAATTCAAAGTCTGTCACTTTTGTTAATCAAAGAGCAGTGTCCTCTGATGCTTGGATTTTAACATATTTTTAGTTAAAACCAATACGATAAAAACACTGAGTTTTAAATTTAGGCCTCTACTACTCTTCCAGTAGTTGTTAGTAAGTATGGACATGGCTTAATGTCTCTAAACTTTATGTTTAATCTTCTAGTTTTCAAATAACAGATTTCTGTATGAATTCTTATTTTTAATGCATTTATAAAGATAGATGCTTTTTAATATATTAGGTACTTAAAACTACTGTGATGTCTTACTTTAAGCTAAAGATGTTCCCTACAATCTGGTTTATATTAGTCTCTCTTAAAAAAAAGATTTCTGTTTTTTATTTATGAAATAAAGCAGACTCAAACATTTGTCAAAATAATCAAAAGTTACAAATTAATAGAGTAAAAAAGTCAGTCTTTCTGACTGACTTTCTTTTAGGTGAGCTTTATGTGTTTCTAAAAGTTAACTCAAACCTTGAATTGTTACAGTTAGAAAATCCCCCACATGACCTGCACAGTACTTTCAAAGAAGTTTTACCTTTATTTCTGAACTTTAGCTTTCGTTGACTAATCATTGAATTCAATTCTGTTATATATTCTTTGTCCCCCTTTAATTAATGCTTATTTGATAAACAATTAAAATGCTTAAGTAAAATTCACCTATCTTTAGTTCCTGTGTCATAAATTACGCTGGTTTCAGAGGCTTCTTAGGGATGTAGAGGTGGAGAAGAGGGGAAAGCAAGAAGTTGTTTCCTCGATAAAATTTTCTTAGTTCAAGCTGTAAAATAGTTTAGACTTCTGAAGCAGAGCAGCATTCCTTTGGTAGGCATCATGAGCATCGCACTACGAATGTTGACACGTACTCTGTTTTTGTGAGTCTTCTAGTCACCACTTGTCTGGTTCTTGCAGCTGGCACTGCTGGTGGCGGTGCTCCCATCAATGCTTGAGAACAGTATGTGACCTGCAGCATCCACGCAGCGTGATGTAGTGTTAGGTGTCCGTGACGGATGCTTAGCGCTTTGTTCTTTTTTCCCCTCATTATCTGGACCGCTCTCTTTTATTCCCATGCTCTCCCAGGCCTTCTGTATCTAACAAAGACCAACAGGTCTGGAGATGCTGACTCAAATGGAAATAGGCATTGTCTAGCTGCTACCCTCTTGACCTTTCTTTCCCCGCTTCCCCACTGCTACACCCCTAAGAAGCCTGTGAAAATGGTATAATTACAAACATGCTATTCTCACATTAAAATCAAAGTGAAACTGAAATCCTGAAAAGTTCCCCCAATTATTTTTTCTTTATCATACCTTAACATTTAAATATACCATATGTAAGTAAAGAATTTAGTCCAATTTTTTTGACATTTTGAGAATATTCTAAATTAACCTTTTAAATCAACTTGTCTGATGCCAGAGTTCAGAGAACCACCTTCGGTCAATTGAAGGGCAAGAAGAGAAAAGGTACAGGAACGTAGCTCTTTAAATGATATGGTAGACTAGAAAATTTGATGTGTTTTTCATATGTAATCTGAATGTGTACCTCATGAGTATACATAACATTAAGGTTGCAAATTTGAGCATTTGTATTGGGAAGTAAAAATTGTAAGTGCGACCAGTGTAACTTTTACTTGTTACAGATGCTCTATTTTGGAAAAGTCTAATGAATATATCTTGACTTGAATGTAATAAAATCCTCAGTTGATTTAAAAAAAAAAATCCAGGCTGTCTTGGAGTAAGTGTGTGTCCCTATAAGAGGTTTAACTTTTATCATTTCCAAGTTAAAATTTGTAGCCTTAATTGTTACTTTAAAGTGTAGGGTTTTAAATTTCATTTTCTATGTTCTTCTTTTGTAATGGTGTTGAGTTTTTTGTTTTATTTTTTTTTACTGGAAACGTTTAAATTTCATAAAATGAAATTGAGGACTGAGAACAATAACAATGTAAGAACATATAGAAGATTGAAAAGAACTAACTAAACTCACTGACATTGGGTGTGTTAGCTATACAGGCATTCATGTTCCTTCTTTATGAGGGTCAATACTGGTTAAATTTTTTAAGCCATTACCATTTAGTTCTGTATGAGGGAATATAATCATGTTTCCATACAAATCAACCTACTAGCTGCCAGAAACTCTATTTCCCATGATATTTTAGAATGGCATGCAAAAGATATGTAAAATTTGGTGATATTTTCTTGCCCTTGCTGATGAGAGGTGAATCTGATATCAACAGAAAAAGTATTCCTGAAAATTCAAAACCTGGAAATATATTTATGGCATGTGTCAAGTGTTTCTGGGAGAAAAGAACAAATCAAGAAGAAGCATTGCAAGTGAGCTCATGTGGAATGCTCAAGGCTTGTGATTTCAAAAATATATATATATATATATATATAGCTGGCAATGCCTTATGCCCATGGTAACAGCAGATAAATAACAATCATTCTTTAGTCACATAGGTCATATGCCTATTGGAGAGGATTAACTCAAGCGAAATTAACTTCTGCGCTGTTTGCTTTTATAATATTAGAAGGATCACAGCTGACGAGTGCCCTTTGAATCACTAGTCTTTGTAGATCTCTTTGTTTCAGAAAGGGCTAGCCAAATGTGATGTTCCTTGGACCTGAGATTTAGAACTCAGAGGCTATTCTTTACTCATTATTAGGGTTATTGAAGGAAGTTTCTTGGCAGTTCTTAATACTAATTCTGGTAAATAATTTATAAGCTTAAAAATATACCTCTAAAATCTCACCTCTGACCCTTCATGCCTTCACATTACCAATCAGAAATTTATATAGCTGCTCAGTTCTCTTTTCCTTGATAAAACATAGATGCAAGGCATGGTTTAGTTGAAGTAAGTTGTATATACATGTCGGTGTCGTGATTGTCCCTAATAAAGTTCTGTGATTCTGCTTTGTTTATCTGGGAGCCTGCTAAGTGTGATTTACCCATATTCCCAACATATTTCACTCCATAGTACTTTAAAAAGAGGTTTCCTTCTTGTTTAGTTGCAAGGACCAAAGCACTCCCAAGTGCCTCCAGTGGAGATTTACTTTAAAGCGACACATGGCACTAACAGAGGTGGGAATCTCATGACAGCAGATATGTAACTGGGCCTCCCCGAGAGTGCGACAGTGAGTAGTTAGGAATTGGAAGAATCCAGTGCATCTCTAAGGACTGGGTCATCATCTGCCCTCTCAGTGACAAGAGGGAGCTGATGCCCTTCTGCCAGTGACAGCTGCTTGGTTCCTCCCTCTTTAGTTCTTCACCTGCTGGCCAACTAGCTCATCTTCTCCTCAGGGTTCTCTTCTCCTCTTGGTGTCTTCTCACTGATGTATCTTTCTTACCTTTGGCTCTAAGCCTTGAGCTTCTCCTTGCTTACTTCCTGTCTCCTCTTCCCCCTCCTTTCCCATCACCAACTTTCTAGCCGCCTTTCTGTGCCTCCTCTTCAGGTTCCAGTGGGAGAGAGAGACTTCACGGGCCAGTCAGTGGCCGTCTCCCCCGTTGGAGCCAGCCTGAGCGGCTTCTGGCTCGTCTGTAGATTGGCTGCCCTTGGGTCAGGTCTCAGCCCCATTTCCCCTCATGGAGTGGGTGTGGAGGAGCAGGAGATAACGAGCACAGAAGACCAGAGCCGTTCTGCGGGCCTCCGCAGTCTGCTCGGGGGCAGACCCAGTGCCATCGCCCAGTCCAGGGGGCAGTGGGACTGGCGACCCTTCTCCAGAGTGATTCACAGGGTGCTGTCACTGGACGCTTCTGTGTCTGCAGGACCCTGACTCTGTCCTCAGGACTGGTTTTAGCTGCCTCAGGGCCTCCTCACTGGGTTATTGTAAGTTCTCTCTTCTTCTCTGTGCAGCAAGAGCACTTCTTTTCCCTTTGTCACTTTCTTCACGCCCTGTATTCCTTCATCTTCATTAACCAATCCTTTCAGAAGCAGTGAAGGGTAACTTGGAAAGCTAAGAAGCAGGAGAGAGGGGCTTGGTTGTAGCTAAAACTAGTTGCCTAGAATCATTCTTTAAATTCAACAGGGATCTGAATTTTTGTTTGTTTAGTTTGTTAGCTATCTGGAGCTTTGAGAACTGTAAGGATGGGAGAAAAAAAGACTGGGCTACAGGAAACAAGAGCAGTGAGCTAAGGGTGGGCGATGGGAGAGAGGCAGAGAGTGGTCCTCTCCCTGTCCTTTCCACATGCCAGCTGGGCTGAGTAGGGAGGGATGCAGAGTCTAAAGTGGGAGTGAGTAAAATGTGTATGTTTATTATTTGATTTAGGTGGATCATTTGCATTATTTTATTCTGTCAATGTGTATAATTAAGAGTGTTCTGTATTTTTAATAGACTGTCAAAGCCAGAACTCTTTCAGTGGAGATTCTGACACTTTTAGTTTTAGCCCTGAACATCTTATCTTAAAATTAGACATAGTATTGCCTTAATTTCTTCCATTTATTAGATTTACTTTTTTATTTTTTTTTAATTTTATCAGCTTCTGATCACAGGACTATACAGCCTCCAAGGGTAAGTTAAAATTTCTTAAATGAATTGCTTAATGGTTTAGACTGAAGAATGGTAATTGAGATATTGAACCCCTTTGCTAGCTGTTTAGTGTAACATCAAATTAAGAGAACACTGAAGTCATTTCATGACCTTTGCATGAATAGATCCAACTATTTTAAAACCTCTGGCCATTTTGTAGCAGTGGGATAGAATAAATGATTCCTTAAGATTGTGCTGACTTCTCACACCCAGAACTGGAAAGTTTTTGTGTAAGAATAATGGTCATTATCTGCTAAAGGAAGCTGATTACAATATATTGCCTCACCTGTTGGATCCATTTGATGTGCATACACGGAATGAGATTTCAGGCTTAAAAATGAGGGAGAGGGGTTTATAATAAATAGATTTCATTAAAATTGACAGTCTGTAAAATAAATGTAAATATAATTGAAAAATGACTGTTCTGAATTAGGATTCATTTCCCTCTTTCCCTCATTTTATAAACATTTTTCTTCCTCCAAACTGTACTGTCATTTTCACTGTATCTTGGATACCTTAATAAGCTATCTGAGGAAATTCCAAGGAAAGGAGCAAATTTAGGAGGTAAACTGAGAAGGATAAATGAGGGGGGTGAAAAAACCTTTATAGAGAGAGACTCATCATGGCGACAGGCACATGGGCTACTTTATGGAAATAAGATCTAGAAAGGACTATATGTCGTCATCTTCCTTTAAAGGATTAATGATCACTCATCTGCAGTGCCAAAAGCAAGGTTCCTGTCCATGGCAGGAAGTGGAGATTATCTGACAAGCCTCCACAGACATGCCTGAAAGGCACGGGAAGTGAGGGTGCATCTTACACAGGTGTCCATTTTAAAAAGACTGATGCCATTGCTACCTTGGTCACAAACAGCCAGAAGTTTTAAAAGTGCCTCTGTTAGAGACAATCCAGCCATTAGACCCTTAAATCCTAACACATTTGCTTTCCCTGTTACTGAGTTCAATTTGCATGACTTGAAAATGATTCTGTTTTGCTCTCATCTCTGGTTTAACTGTATTATTTATTATATTGCTATTCATGTTTGTGCTTCAAGAAGTTAGAATTTCTTGAACTGAGAGAGGCAGGGTGGGATGGGAAATTCTGCATGACAAAAAGTATATTAAGAGAATAATGCAGTTATTTATTATAAAACTTTGCAAGCTTGCTTTTCTAACTAACCTATGTTGCCTTCCTTTTTTTTTGACTATAGGATTCACTGTTTATTATATAGTTTAAATGTTAATGTATATAAATTTTAGTATAAAAGGACATGAAATAAATTCTATTTTATGTAAATATATTTTAAATATTTTCCAGAAAGCTGTAGAGGAACCCCTTAATGGTATGTGGTTATTACAAATTTGTATATTTTTGTTGATCCGTTACCAGATCATAGTTTGAACTGGCCCCCAAAGCAATTAAAGTGCTGTCTATGCCTTGGGAAGAATCTAGGATTTTTCTTGCCTTAACCTCTCTTTTCTTGATTTTTCATCAAGAATTGAGTGTTGCTTTTGTAATGTTGTCACCTCTGAGAAAAATGCACTGTTCTGTGTCTCTTGAGCAGTTGCTTGTGCTAGCCAAGTGATATTTGGGTGAGGGGACCACTGCCTTTTTAATTGGCCACGAGGAAATGTAACACCCCCAGTAGAGAAGAATCCCAGATAATTTCAGCTTCTAATTATAAATTTCAGGAAGGCACAGGCTATCATCATGGAGGGAGACAAAAACATCTCACTTTCTTTCTCCCTAAATCTAGATCTTTATTTCCAGCTGACTTGTGTAGGCTGTGGGTATGATCCACAGAAAGCTTTTGCAATCAAATGATAACCTTGAAATTAACTTGGCTTTAGAGCTGTGGAATAGTTGGCATGATCCTGCTGCATATTTGTTTATTTAGAAATGATTTCTAATTGTGGAATCTTACTAACTGTCTGCTTGGCTTGTTACTAATTCTTAGCATTTAAAGAATCAAAAGGAATGATGAATGATGGTAAGTATAAAGTGCACCTGTAATTATAGGTGGGTTACAATATGGACATTGAAAAGAAATAACATTGCTTCTTGGAAGTATGGCTTTTTTTTTTTTCAGTAAAAGGGACACTCAAATCATAAAGGCCTACATTTCTTGGTTTATAAAACTTAAATCTACTGTGTTAATAGTTGCAAAACTAGTAATATAAATGCTGTAGGGTGTCACTAATCAGACTTTCCAGTTATATTGCTCGTAACAGAGAATTACTTTTAAAAACATTTTTTAAAAACATTTTTCAGATACAGTGTCTGGTGACTGTAACTTTAAAATGCTTTTTATAAGACAGATAATCGGGCACAAATCTTTGTCATCTTGGCAGGGTTTCTTTCGTGCTTGTGTTGGTGATTTTATTGAATTTATCCCATGGAGACTTAATATCTCTGCTTTTAAAGCAAGAATTTGGTTCTAACCTTTTGGGATAGGATTTACAAAGAGAGAGAGAAATGTTTATTCGCTCCAGCTCTTGCTTTTTTCCTGGAACTTTGGGCTAGTAACTTCTAATTTATATTGAATATTTCAAAGACATAGATCTATTAGTTCTTAAAATAAGTGAGTCTGAGATTCTGAGTGCTGTGAGTGTTCGTTCATTTTGATTTTACCATAACATGTCGTGATACTTCAGTTCTGTTAACATTTTAATAACTATGTTTTTATTTTGTCAAAAATTTCTTCCTACCTTCGACTTTTATAATCATTCCTTGATCATGTAAATAGTTTGCTTTCTATTTTACTGTTGTAAAATCTGTGACCTACCTGCTCACCTCTAGAGCAAAGTGCAGCATTTAACCCAAGAGGCTATATTCCCCGAGTGCAATTAATTTTTGCCTAAGATTGAAAACGTGCCAGTTGTGTGTTGGTGGACTCAGTTTAAAACAATGCTTATTAGACTGTGTTCAATAAACAGTCACAGAATGTTCCCACTTTTTTAAGTTTGTGTCACAGCTTTTATTACAAAAATGCATGTTTTGTTATTCTAACTACTGCCCTCATTAAAAAAAAAATCATGGTTAGTAGGAATACATTAAATAACACTAAAAAAGAACTGGTACCTGATAGTGTGGCATGGTGTGTCTGAGTTTACTTTCTGCTGTTAATTTCTTTGTTTTTTTCCTTTCCTACTGTGATGTCATTCTTCTGTAGTTATATGAAGAAACTAAATTTTCCATTTTCAGAAAGCCAGTACAAGAACCTTGAATGCCTCTTCTTTTGTTAATTTCCCTTAAGATGTGACTCTGTCTGTGTCATTGTAACAGGAGTTGTAGCTGTTTTTGCATGTTCATAGCACATGAAATCTATGACGACCTTTGAAATTCCCGTAATTTTTAGCTGTTGAGAATTTGTTGGGTTTTTTCCAAATGCCTGTCTGGTGGGCTCTTCCTCCTGACAGTGTACAGTGCTCACAGTGTGTCTGCCTTGTGAGTGAGTGAGGTCCCAAGCACCCTCTCGGGACCACAGTACTATTTCCTCTTTCACTTATACCTAATCACGTGTTTGATTGACTTACCGCAAGTGAATGGTGTCAATCTAAAGTGAATGTGACAGAATGTTTATTCTGGGATCAATATCTTTTGCTCTGAAAAATCAACATCTCTTGGCTTCTCATCAGCCAACCCAGCAAACAGAGAATATCAGACTGATGACTTTTATTTCCACTTGGAATTGGCTTTTACTTAACTGTAACCAAAAAGGCTAATGATTTACCAGGTTTATGTCTGTGACCTTTGCATATCTAAGATTAAATAATTTTTCCTTATTTTTAAATACTGTATATCCAAAACTTATTTTCAGTTTTTTAAATATGTCAACTTGTTAATGCATAGAAAATAGACACACATAGCAATTATATGTTCATTTTTCCATTTTTCAGAGTAACTGAAGTGAAGGGATGGACTCTGATTCTGAGAGTAGTAAGACGTGAAAGAAATTCACCTGTGTTAAAGCACCATGGCCTTGATTCACTGTTTGGGAGAAGAAAACAAGAAAAGTAACTAGTCTCCATCTATGGGAGAAAGTAAATTGTTGGCCTTTGAATGATTATTACAGTTAAGTTTTTATTTAAAGTGTTTTTAATTTAGTTAATAAAAGAATTATGATCTGTGTTGTGTGCCCAATTGAGGTCCAGTTTTTTGTTGTTGTTGTTATTTTTATTCAATTAGGAGCAAAAGTAGAGTGTGCAACTTCCAAGAATGATGCCTTTCAGATCTCGGGGCCTCTTGACTCCAGGTCACCAGTTTAAACTGGTTCCAGATGAGAATTACCTGGCACTAACCTGGTTACCCACAGATACTTGAGAACAGTGGCTTCCATCGAACCTTAGCAAATTCAGGTTCACAGCCACTTTGACAGTTGTGATGTTAGCAGAGTAGTGTGTCTGCCATGTCTGGGTCAAGGGAACAACACATTAAGTACAGATAGGAATTTGGTTGGAAACATCGTGTATGCTGCCTACGTGTGATTTGTCAGTCATGGGGTTCATGGTCTTCATTCCTGGGGGTTGCCACTCAACACATTTTTCCTTCAACATACAGTGTACCAGACCCTTTTCAGATTTAGGGTAATTTTATTGGTGGATATGTTTTTTTTCTCCCCCTCACACAACCCTTTACATCCTGTCTTGTCCTCCTGTTATTTGCTTCTGCTGTACAAGATGTAGCACTTTTTCTCCTCTTTGAACATGGTCCAGTGACACGGTAGCATCATTGCAGAAAGGAGCCAGACTTATTCTCAGAGAACTATGTTCACACTTTTCGGCAAAAATAGCGATGGTTGTAACATATGTATTCCCTTCCTTGGATTTGAAGGCACAGTCTACAATGTTTCTTCACTCCTTTTCTGATCTGGGGCATGAAAAACCGAGATTGAGATTTGGACTGTGAGTCTCCTGCATGGCAACATACTGTGTGTCACCGTCAGGCCAACAGGCCAGCCCTGAAGGAGGGCTTTATTACTGTGTATCTGTGTTGCATGGTAAACACCCGTCATACTCCTCCTGTAGTCCTGCCTCGTACTCACCTTACTCTAAGATTGAAAAGTAAATCAGAACCCCCACGTTTCCTACCCCCCGTTAGAAGAAGATTAACACTCTGACAGTTGTGATCGCCTGGAGTACTTTTAGAGTATTAGCGCTTGTTTTCTTCCCTGTGGGTGTGTTTGTGTGTGCACATGTGTAAGATAGGCACGTGCATCTTCTGTATGGACAACGGCGGGGTGCCTACAGGAGAGCAAATGTTAATTTCATGCTTTTAGTAAAAACCGTTCAAAACATCTTTATTGGGTGGACTTACATTTGACGTGCATATTTGATCACTTAAAACCTTAAAAAATTCTAGGTAATTTGTCAAGCATTTGACTGCTCACCAATGCCCTCTAAAAATGCAAGTTATTCTTCCTGTTGGTGTAATAACAATAAGACGTTCCTATTTGTAGTTGCGTTATTAATGGTTATTTCTTAGTCCACTGAATGTTCCCGTGTACCTCTTTTATGCCAAATCAATTGTCATATTTTATGCTGGGACCAAGTGGTTTGCCCGTGGCAAACCGAAATGTATGACCTGCTGATGCCTCTCAGAAAAGTAAACACACTATGAAGACAGCTCTTCTTGAAAAGAGAAAGAAAAAACAGTTCCCTAATTGTGTTGCTGTCCAGAACGTTACCATATGTAGAGGGAGCTGTACTCTTTATACAAATCTAATGGCTCCTGCTGCTCTTTTTCCTTCTGAAAATATTTATATTTTACTAATATCATTTGTTACTTTAGAATCCAATTTTGATGAAAGGAGGAAAAAAAGCCAATGGACTCGAAAAAGATCCAGACTGCTATTCTCTATTGAGAAAACCGCCAGGTGTGAAAATCTTTATAGTAAACTTTTTTATGAATTAGACTTTTACCTTTTAATATGTAGTCAGCTCTCATTTATTTGGGGTTCAGCCTTGGAGCTAGCTTATCCTTTGTGTTTCCTTTAATGCTGCCTGCCTTTCGAGGCATGCGCTGCCCTAGACATCGCACAGAGGTTGCAGGAGAAACGCCAGGTGATCTTACCCATCATCGGCTTCTGTGGAAAAGGGACCATGGCAGCGGGAGCCCTGTTGCTTGGGCATCGCTGGGCCAGTTTGTTCTCTTTAGATTAGACTTACACTGGCCCCCAGTTTTCTGCCACACCAAATTAAAGTTGCTAACAATGTTTTGTGCATCAAATACTTTTCTCCCCATAATCTGCTTTTTTAGTCACTGGTCCCAATTTTTGCCGCCGACTCTTTGTTCATTTTTATTTACTGTATGTCCTCAGAGTGACACCGTTTGTCATTTTGGCAACAAATTTTTCCAACCTTTTCAGCCAAATCAAATTTCTCTCTCCTTCAAAACATCCTCCCAGCCTTCCTCCCCCACTGGCTCTCCTTTGCAGTCTGCCCCCGTCTGTGTAGCTGCCTCCTTCATCTCTTACCTTCCTTTCCTAGTTCTTCATGTGTCTCTGTGTAGCTCTATTGGATTTTTGTCTCTTTCTCTCATTCAATTTAAAAATTCCTTTTTTTCTTCTCTTCCTGCAGTGTTTTGCATACATTAGACACTCACTGCATAAGTTTGATGATTGAGAGTAGGCTGTATTTAGATTTGCCACTATTTTTAATAGGGTGAGCTAGAGAGTTTTCTTTATAGACAGATTTCACATGCTCTGAAAACGGTAAAAGGTAATGATTTTTTTAACCTGGAAACCCCATATCCAGCCTGTTTAAATTTCTGTGAATGTTAGAATTACATCAATGGGACTATCCTGTAGTTGGGAGTATTGCTCTTTTCAGGATGCTGTAGTCAGTTTAGTAAGTGACCGACCAAATTGTAGTTTGAGTTATAATAAAGCTCAAAAAGTGGTACATTTACTCTTCCTTCTCATTAATAATAATTGAGCTCTTTGTTACCTGGATTTCGCTCGCCCTAACATGAGTATTCAAAAACAGACATCTGTGGTGTATGTGTAGAACTACACACCCTTTTTTCACCTGTTGTTGGAAAGTAGAGAAAAGATTGTTGGGCAACCCTTTATCGTTTTATCATGTTTTATTTGATGGAGAGTTTGTTTAGAAACCTTCGTTTTACATGTGTCATGTTTCCAAAATCACTAACTGCCGTCACCCACTGGGGTCCTTTGTTAAGTCATTTTCTGTAGCTAATGGGGATAATCCAGGTGACTTAGGAGATGAGCAGTGAACAGGAAGTTTTCCTGCCTTTGGCTTTTGACAGCTCTTACTTAACATGCACAGCCAGTTTCCCCATCAATTTAGCTTTTTGAAAACAAGAGAGCAGTCGTAATAAGCTTCTCTGTAAGGCAACATCAGTGGAAACTTTAAAGTGTTATCAGAGTTGGTGAGACAAGGAAGCATTTTTGTTTTTATTAAGCAGAGCATTATTTACTAAAAGCCATCATTGAGAATTAGATCACACACCGTATAAATACCCATTAACCATTCTAAAGAAAGAAAACTCCAGTGTTGCTATGTGCAGGATCCTCTCTTGGGGGCTTTTTTCCATAGCAATTAAAGGTGTGCTATTTGTCAGTAGCCATTTTTTGCAGTGATTTAAAGACCAAAGTTGTTTTACAGCTGTGTTACCGTTAAAGGTTTTTTTATATGTATTAAATCAATTTATCACTGTTTGAAGCTTTGAATATCTGCAATCTTTGCCAAGATACTTTTTTTATTTAAAAAACATAACTTTGTAAATATTTCCCTGTAATATTATATATACTTAATAAAACATTTTAAGCTCTTTCTGTTGGGCTAATTTCTGTTGCTGCTACAGCAGACCACAAGCACGTGACCGAGACATTCGGTTTATCAGTGTATTTTCAAGTCCATATCCTAGGTAACAGTGCAAAGGATGACTTAAAATATTAACTTATAAATTATTTTTTAAGTATTATAATAATATCCAATAGATAAGCTTTTGATCAGAACAAAGTTTTAATTAAAAGTTTTAAGCAAGTCCAGCACATTCATTTTCCCCACAGTAATAGTGAAGATACCACCTGAGAAAGCAGGGGACCTTGGTTCTAGTCCCACTGTCAACTAGCAGAGGGCCTCAGCGAGCCACTCACCTGCCTCGCAGGGTCCCTCCTTATCTGTAGGAGATACGTCTCTCCCAAGACATAGATGTCAACTGAAATCATTTTCCATTTTAATTGGTTACCTATTTTGATTGCAAATGAAAGTAAACCTAAATCTAAAAAATGTGGGATTTATTAATGTGGGCTAATATAACTGAAAATTCAGATGTACATAAAACTAGATAGTGGGCCTCAAAACAGTGTCCTAAGGATCCAGTGTCTCCAGTTTTCAGCTTTCCTCCTTGTTGCTTTCCCTCAGAGGTTGCACGTGATGGTAAAACGGCTGACCACAATCCCAGACCCACCTTCTCCCAAGTTCAGGGGGTGGAGAGGGGAGGAAAAGAGTGTACGCCCTTTGTCAACAGTCTCCTCCACCCCTCACTGCCCTTCAGTGCTGACTGGGCCACGTGCCTCCCTCCCTCAGGCACAGAGACTCAGTCTGATGCTCTGATTGGGCCGGCCTGAGTCCCATGTCTGGCCTGGAATGGCACTGTGGGCTCCATCGTAGGTGGGAACGGGGGACAGAGTGGAAGTTAACTTGAAGCCAAATCAGGAGACTGTAAAGACTGAGATGGCATGAGATTTTCAGGCACAGAATTCCTCGTCAGTGCTGCATTCCTTGCAAGTATGCACTCTCTGGTTCTGCTTTGTGTGTGTGACTGTAGACCATTTAAATGGAAAATAATATTTGGTAGCAAAGTACCGTCTCATTCCTTACCTCATAGGCAATTTAATTTTTATGCATTTATGAGGACTTTTTCACTCTCGGCAGGAGTAACTAATGGAGTTCAGAAAGCATTTAATAGCCTACCTCCTGCACAGAAAGCTGTTCTGTGTAGCACAGAACTGCACTCATCCTGGTTTGAGCTCCCATGGAGGTGTAGGCTTCCAGATGCAACTGGATTTCATTTTTGGGGACGGCACTTTTCCAGCTAAAGGCCTCCAGTTTGACAGCTACAGAAAATAATGGATTATGGCAACACCATCCATGTAGGACATGATCTCACCAGTAGCTCAGAGATTTAAGCACAACTGACAGTGTTTGGTGTCAGAAGTGAGACTGTGCCGGAACTCTTCCCTGGTGTTTACTTTTGAGTTTATAAGCTTCGTGCTCAAGTACCCATCCATCAAATCGGAGGGAAATGAAGTATTTAACCTTACATCTGGATAATTGGATTGATTATTTAATGTTGAAGACAGCACTGCATAGCAGTGATAAGTGGATTTAATGGTTAAACGTCTGCTTCCGTAGCAATCATTTAGTCATCTGGCTCTAAGACAGCGGCTTTCCAGCTCTGTTAATAGTTGTCGAAGACCAAGTATCTTTCCCCAGTTTGGATGATAAGAAATGCTTAGTAAGGAGTCCAGTGTGGAGAAAAATGATTTATAAAAGTCTGAAAACTGCAATCTGATGTCAGCCTTGCTGCCAGACCAGGCGCTCGTGCCGCAGATTTGCAAAACTGAAGCTCTTGTTCTCACAAAGATGTTGCAACACTGTGGTGTGGGACTCAGCGCGGGGCTCCTGCTCTTGAAATAGTCTTATTTAATCATAGACCTGTCTTCCAAAACAGACAACTCATTCTGCTTCCTAATTTTCTTTGTGAAATTCCTCAAGTTTGAACTGACAACATAAAATCCGGTGGACTTCCATTCTAAACAAGTGGGTTGTTGGCAAAGTTTAAATGTGTTTGTTTAAAACATGGACTGTATCTTCCATGGAAGCTCTCTACTTGTTAATTTTTAAAATAAATGGTAATTTAGCTCTTTCAGTCAGTCCATAAAGGCTTTCTTAGTCATTTTTATTAAAAACAGTGTTTGTTTTGGAGGTGCTGAGGTTAGGTTGCATCATGGGTGAACTTTTGTGTACATACCAACCATTGTATGGATTCTTTGGGGGGAAATTTTTCTCTCATGCCCTCATGCTGAGGGCAATTGGAAAGTACTGGAACCGTTCCTCTCCCCACTGCTACCTCTTTCCCTAGCAGTTGCAGGAATAGCCGCCCACCACCTCAGATGAGAGCCCTGTGCTGGGACACGTCCAGCTCCACCTCCCAGGTAGCCCATTCCAGGAATGTGTCTCACTCTCCACCCCCAGCTCAGCCAGACATTTTTAGAATGTAATGTTCAGAAGTCTCATTTTTGCGAGTTAGAGAAGGCATACATTTGGTTACCTTAAGAAACCTTTATTGCAATGTTACCAATTGTTCAGTTCTCCCAGTCGGAGTGGTTAAACATATACACTGGATTTTTTTATGCATCTATTACTGCTTAAATGGTAGTTGATTTACAATGTTGTGTTAATTTCAGTCGTACAAAAAGTGATTCAAGTAGACACACATATGGATTTTTAAAAAATGTAATTATCCTGGATTCAATAGAACCCGTGTCTCCTCGTATCTTTAGCTTATGCCCAACTAGCAACTAGGGATTGTTCTGGTAACAAGTATTACTAAATGGAGCAGAAAATCTTTCCCTGGGTCCTATGCAGGAACATATTTGAAAACATCAACAAACACCAGTTGTTCTCACCTCCATTCAAAGAAAGATGTTGGAAAACTATAGAATCTTTATGATTTAAGCTGATTGATTAGATTGTGGAATCTTTATTAACTGCCTAAAAGAACTGTGCTTGAAATTACACCAAAAAATCTGTCCGTTTTTTTCAGAGCATCACAATCAGTAAAATTAAATACTCTTGTGTTAGTTTTACATCTCTGAAAAAAAGTATTAGATCCAGTCTCCCGGAATACATTTGGCTAAAAAGTTTGGCTGGAATAGGTACCAAATCTCATCCTTGGGCCTTCTGACTAGAATCGTTTTCTTTACTGTATGAATAGACTAGACTTAGTAGTGAGACCAGCCAGCTCTTTGCCTCCCTCCTCAAAAGCAACTGGGATTCTCCAAAGGAGCTGTAATATAAAGTAATGGGAACGGAACATCTCAGAACAGACTTCTCCTGAGCGACTGAGTCCCCAGGGAGGGCGCTCAGTGGCTTGAACATGTGTTAATGAGGCCAGTGATCCCCACCTGAGCCAGTTACTTATTTCTATGACTCTGTCTTGCTCGTCAAAGGATTTAAAGTGCCCCATTTGGGTCAGGTATTTTTACACAGAGAAAAGCCATGTTCGATGATCATAACCACTGGAGTGGTGCCACACGTGGGCGCGGGCGCTGGAGAGGAACAGAGCAACGGGATAGAGGGGGACAGCAGAGGCTGGCCTCTCAATGCCTTGCTCAAAGCCACCTGGCATGGAGGCGAGGCCAAGAGATTAATTTATTCATTTAAAAAGCAGTTTTATATTTCTCCCCTGAGAAGCGAAGCCACTACAATAATTTTCACTATATGTAGCAAACAAATTTATGTTAAAACAGAAACAAAAATCCCCAAGTCAAGCACATTCCAAGAGCCTGGATGCTGTCCAAGCGAACCTGGCAATGACACAGGTGCTGATGAAAACAACATTTTATGAGGCCACCTTAGCTAGTCCTCCTGGGCATCTTTAGTCTTCAGACTGGAGGTAAAAATAAGATTAGAGCTCTCAAGGTGAGGAGAGAGGAGCATACGTTCTTCAAAAGACTCAAATAGATAATTGATTCTTTTAAAGCTGTTGCTGAGTGTAACTTACGTCTGGTTTCAGAGGGCTTTTTTTCAGATGAAATCTTTGCAAACAATAGTAAAGAAATCTAGAACCCCCTGGGGTGACAGTTTGAGTACTGTCAGGGATTTATATCTAATTATTAGCCTGAAAGTAAAGAGAAAAAGAACCAGCCGAGTGTCAGCCTGGAAAACAACAGCCGTGGTGTTCAGCAGCCCAGTCATTAGTGCCTTAAAGGACAGTTCAGCACATTTATTCTTACCCTGGAAAGAAGGCCACAGAGGTTTCAGTGCTTTCTGATTATAGTTCCTTTTTCTATGGAGGAGAGATGCTGCCTGTGCTTGTAGATTTCATCTCTTCTGAGCATCTGGTAGACCTGGGAGCTGGCTCTCACCACAGGCGCTTAGAGGAGAGGCAACATGCAGAGTCAGAGCGCTCCACGCTCAGCGCTTCCCCGGCTGCGTGACCCTGTGCAAGTGACCTAGTTTCTCGGTGTCTGTGTAGAGATTCAATGCCATAATGCACGTGGAGTACTTAGCACAGCACCTGGCCCAAGGTGAGCACTCAGAAACTAGAAACCATTTCTCTTCTTCTGCTTCTTATTAAATTCAGCTGAGGAGGAAAAACCTTAGCAGGATAGCCTAGAGATGAGCATAATATACACCGGAACACATATTTGCCCATATCGGGTCGTCGCCAAAGACGAAATCGAACATAAATTGAGTGTAAACTGATACAACAAGCACAGCTACACTGCAGACGATGACTCCAGGTGCAATGTTCTTGGTAAGACACCTCTGGTTCCCTCAGTGAAACCAGGGGACAGGAGGTGACATTAGAGAAAGGCATCATCAGATAACCTGATTTGCCCCTTCTTGGAATGGAAGTGAAGGAGCTCCTCCTCGTAGCACACAGATGGTCTTTGGAACCCATTCTCCTGTTAGCAAAACTCCACTCGCCCATTTATTCATTCACGTCGGGGACTGAGGCTGAAGATGTCCAAAAATGTGTGGAGAGCAGGCCCTCCCATCACCCTAGGTAGGATACAGTCTAGGACTTAGAGCTGC